GCCAAACTGATCAATATACTACCCAGTAATAGCAGAGAAATACTGCACACGATGAAGATTATCATCACTCACATAGAGTTTGTCTCCTACTACCAATAAACCAAATGGACTTTGAAGCTGACCATCACTGTTGCCATTTGTACCAATAGTTCGTGTCTTATTCCCATCTTGACTAAAAACCTGTACAAAGCCACTGCTATTACAAGCAAACACATCACCATTAGCATGAACAGCAACACCATATGTATAATTCCCAACAGGATAATTACTTAAGTTAGTAAGTGAGGCATAATTCTTTGATGCTTTTGCATATAGATAATAAGGACTACCTTTAATATGATGACCTCTTATAGTGACTGATAGCAGGTACTGCCCAATACTTTGAGGTGTGCATGAGATTGTGGCTGTCTTGTTATCATTAGCTATAACAACTCGACCCTCCTCTTTAGCCTCATCACTTTTGACAAAAGAGGTTTTTAAATGAGTAGTAGCTTTATCCAGAGACAATGGGCTATCAATGGCTAGCTTGAATTTCCTTTCCTTCCCTACTGTTGCCAGTGGAATAGCTAACCCAGATTCAATAGAATAGCAATCAGGATCAACCTCAAAAACACCTCCAAACCTATTGATCTCATCGCTTATGCCAGCAGCCTCCAACTTTGTTAGTATTACCCCATCCTCCTCTATCTCACGAGGGTGTTCTTTTGATGCTTTTAAACATCTCTCCAATTGATCAGTGATTAATTTCTTAATGCTTAGGACTTCACCAGAATCCACACACTCACTCACAGATTGGGCCAGTTGGCAACCAAGCAAAACTCCATTTTCAAGCCTTTGAAACTCATTCAACTGCTTCTTAACCGACTCTTTCTTAGCACTAGCAATCTCTTCTGTCTCTGCAAGAAGAAACCTACGACGTTCTTCTAAAACGGTTTTGAGTTTTGTAAATGTTTCCTCAATTTCTTTTTCAATCTCTTCCTTGCGTGTGTCTATCTGTCGTAGCATTTTCTCTCCATTAGCAATTGAATCGGTAAAGGTACCTGGAACTTTAGCTTCATTGCATTTTGCTGCACTTTCCTTGAGAGATTCACGAGCTGCCTCTCCTACTTTAGTGTATTCAATACGAGTGTGATCTTTATGAGTTACAATGAAACAATCACGACAGACGAGCATCTCACAGTCTTGGCAAAAAAAACCTAACGATTTCATAATCATGATCAGCACAGGGTGTTGGCTGACGGCTAACAAAGGAGGAACCTCCTTCAACTCTCTTACCTCCTAGCTCGATTAATTCATGGTGGACAGTTTTCTTCATTCATTTGTGGCCTTTCTTGCAAAAATCACACAAAAACAAGCAGCATGAACAGCAAAATGCTACGGCAGCGTCATCACTTGATGATGTACATTGGTCACACGGGATGCTGTCCTTGCTGCTTATCTTCTCCCTCACGGTAGCCTCTAAGACCTTGTGGGCCAACCAAAGATTCTGAGTCAGACCATTAACTTTACCTGAAGGTAATGGGGCATTAGCGTCACAGGTGGGGCACTTTAATGACTTTTCTTCTCTTCCTTGCTCCTCTTTGACTTTTTCGAGACATTTCATGCAGAAGGAGTGAAGGCATGGAAGCATAAGTGGGTCAGTGTAGTACTCTGAGCACAACCCACACACAAGAGGAATAGGACACTCTTGGATTTCCACTTTGTTGTCAGCCATTGGTAGCTATTCGATAAAGTCTTCAACGTAATCTTCAGTCTCAGATCTCTGCTTCTTTGGATTCTTATTGTCCTGCTTGCAGTGCGTCAAATTTCCTTGACCACCCTGTCTATATAGATCTACCTCTAATCTATCCAGGGATTTCACCAAGTTAGAGTACATTATCAATGATCGTACACCATCAATTTTCGGACACTTGTTTTAGGAAAACTATACATTGCCATCTCATGAAACTGCAAAGTATTATAGCAATAGTTATCCTTTATTTG